TTAGTGTCACCTAATCATTTACATATTCTCGATCCAATTATTGAAAAATATTCTATATTTTTAACAACAATTATTATAAGAATTATTTCAAATAAAGAACGTTTTGAGAAAGTCAATGAAATTTTATTATCCAACATGGATTATTATTTATCAACAGAAGAAGTTCTTAAAATTTGTGCTTATGAACAAATATTAACATATGATAATATTCAATATATTTGTCAAGAAATATTTTCTACTAAACAAATATTAGATACAAATGATCAATCGCATCATCAACAAAAATCATCAATTGATATAAGTATAGAAAATATACAAGAACAATCTAATAAGAACTCTTTAGCTTTGAATATCGATCAACAAAATACTGATCGTAGAAGTGAAGAAGTAAATATTAGCAGAGGTAAACCTAAAATTATAACTAGTTTTTACTAAACATCTAACTGTTGATTTTTAACGAAGAGAAGCCTATGAGAAATATCAGAAACGAAAAATGTTATTTTAGTAATACTAGTCTTTGTACAAGCACGATCACAGTGATTCTTCTTTTGTTCCTCCTGTCGTACAATTCTCCTTGTCCGCAATCTTATGCCTTTGAGAGGATATCGATTTCAAAATTTTTGGACCCATATCAGATTGTGGGACCAATTTCAGGAGTCTCTAATCTACACTTTCAATATACTAAATTTCTGATTTTTTAAACGTAAATTTGAAAATTAGTACTAATATGACATTGTCTATTTGTTTTAGTGACAAGATTAGATTTACAAGAAACTAGTCTTACACTTCAATCCATACTTGATTGTTATACTCGAAATATATCTATGTATACTCATGATTCTGTTCTTCGACATAAAATAGAACAAACAATCATAATAACTATATTTGATTATATTCTTCATTTTAATCATCGAACTATGATCAATGAACAATTAAGAAAATTATTTAATGGATTTAAACCTTTGGCTGTTTATAAAGCTCAATTATTAATTGAAAAAGAATTGATAGTTATTAAATTATTATTAAACATACGTAAACAACAAGCATCATTAACAATTGATGATCTGAATAGATATCTTGAGTCATATCCAATACCATG